TGCCTTCACAGAGTGCCTGCAGGCCATCAGCGCATTAAAATCCTAGATACGCTGATAGAAAAACATACGTGTGAGGAGTTTTTAAATTTTTTTCAGGACTAACGCCACATGTAAATACAGATTAAACCAGCCATATAAAAATCTTACAAAACCATAAGGACAAATATTTTTCTTTAAAAGCCTGAGGGATGGTTTATTAAACTTAAAAATCCCAGCAACTGAGCGGTTGTAATTGACGACTTCTCACTCTCCCCTTGCATGCCCTGAGCGCGCGCCCACAGACCCTGCCAGCCCCTCCAGGCCAAGTGAGAGTGGTCAGCGTGAGCTAGGTGGAGTTTTCTTGGGGGAGGGGCTGCAAGTGTGCACAGTTTCCCAACTTTGCTCCCGGGGAACATGTCTTCGTTACATATAGAAGATTGTACAGAGTGGATCAGTGTGTCCATCCTTTGGGAATAGCAGAAGACCAAGTTTGATTATGTCATTTTTCTGTTTTCCATATAAAATGTTACAGCTTGAAGGGAGTTAAACTAGCAAAGAACTTTTCTCAAGTTCCTTACTCCTTTGAACGTAGAGCCTAGCATCTTGAAAGTTTGAGAAAATCAGCCTTTTCTTTTAGGAATTGCCAAACTCCATTTTCCTCTTTTCTTTTTCTTGATTTTTAGGCATTTAAGATTATTTCATTCTAATTCAGATGAACCAAATTGTTGTAAACATTTCTGCTATAGTTTCCAAGTTCATGCTAGGTTAAAACCTTTGAAATTTTGTTTTTCCTATTTAGGCAGTTTTATTTTTAATTTTTTTTTTTAAGATTTTATTTATTTGACAGAGAGAGACACAGCGAGAGAGGGAACACAAGCACGGGGAGTGGGGGAGAGAGAAGCAGGCTCCCCGCTAAGCAGGGAGCCCGATGCAGGGCTCGATCCCAGGACCCTGGGACCATGACCTGAGCCGAAGGCAGACGCTTAACGACTGAGCCACCCAGGCACCCTGCCTTCCCCTATTTTCATCCATTGTCCCACCCCCCTTGTCTCTGGCAACCAGCACTTTCTTCTTTGTATTTATGAGTATGTTTCTGTTTGTTCATTTGTTTTGTTTTTTAGATTCCGCATGTAAGTGAAAATATATGGTATTTGTCTGGCTTATTTCACTTAGCGTAAGACCCTCGAGGTCCATCCATGTTGTTGCAAAATTTCATTCTTTTTTATGGCTGACTGATATTCCTGTGTGTGTGTGTGTGTCAGCTCTTTATCCATCTATCAGTCGATGGATACTTGGGCTGTTTCCATATCTTGGCTATTGTAAATTATGCTGCACCAAACATAGGGGTGCATATATCTTTTCAAATTTGTGTTTTCATTTTCTTCAGATAAATGCCCAGAAATGTTCGTGTGGTAGTTCTATTTTTAATTTTGTGAGGAACCTCCATGCTGTTTTCCATGGTGGCTGCACCAGCTTGCATTCCCACCAGCAGTGCACGAGGCTTCCCCTTTCTCCATATCCTCCCAACAGCTGTTGTTTTGTGTGTTGTTAATTTTAGCCATTCTGACAGGTGTGAGGTGGTATCTCACTGTGGTTTTGATTTGCATGTCCCTGATGATGAGTGATGTTGAGCATCTTCAGTGTCTGTTGGCCATCTGGGTGTCTTCTTTGGAGAAATGTCTGTTCAGGTCCTGTGCCCATTTTTTAATCAGATTGCTTGGTTTTTTTGGTGTTGAGTTGTAAAAGTTCTTTATATATTTTGGATACTAATCCCTTATTGGATATGTCATTTGCAAATATCTTCTTCCATTCACTAGGTTACCTTTTGGTTTTTTGATGATTTCCTTCACTGGGCAGAAGCTTTTTGTTTATTTATTTAAAGCTTTATTCATTTATTTATTTGAGAGAGAGAGCAAGAGCGAGAGAGAGCATGAGCGGGGGGAGGGGCAGAGGGAGAAGCAGACTCCTTGCTGAGCAGGGATCCTAATGTGGGGCTCGATCCTGGGACCCCAGGATCATGACCTGAGCTGAAGGCAGGAGCTTTGACCAACAGAGCCACCCAGGTGCCCCGGGCAGAAGCTTTTTAGTTTGATGACGTCCCAATAGTTTATTTTTGCTTCTTTTGCCTTTGCTTTTGTTGCCTCAGGAGATAAATCCAAAAACAATATTGCTCAGACCAATGTCCAAGAGTTTATTGCCTCTGTTTTCTTTAAGGAGTTTTATAGAAAAACTTCTGAAATTATGTGGTACCCCAGAGAATAGGCCAAACTCTAGGATTTTTCAGCAATATCTGTTTATTTTAAGAGGATCTCAGGTAACACTTTGCAGCTAGCTCTGGGTTTTGAAGGACTGGGAAGTTTGTGTCTGTAGGAGTGGTAATTTGGATTAAAAGTGAAAATGCTGCCATCTGAATATTTGGATTTGGAAAAGTCATTATCCAGACTATGAAACTTATTCTTTGTAAATGTTCACATGTTTTCTAGCCACTGTGCACTGCCCTTTTACCCTCCCGTGGCAGAGGAAGGAAGTGAGGGCACACCGAGGGTGCCCCTGTTGCCCAGCAGCTCACAAGGGGGAGGGCAGAGTGCCAGAGAACCTGCAGACCCTGCATATTGACCTAGCACCTTTACCTGCCCTGCACCTCCGAGAAAATACTCATCTTTCATATCTCTCTCATTTCCTGCATCCTTACCCATCAGTTCAGATAAAATTCCATTTAGGGAGTAAAAATTCCAGTCAGCAGGTCTGTTTTACCTTTCATCCTCTGGCTAGTTAGTTGATTTCTTATGTGATAAAAATTACAGGTTTTCATATTCAAGCCTCTGTTGGTCAGTAGCTATTAGGTACTGCATTTTAAGCAGCAGGTGCACTCTTGTTCTGTGACTGTGTTGTGTGGTCCTTGAAACTCATTGGAATTAAGTCAGTCACCTTAAAAGCAAAAGCTTTTGGTCTTTTGTTAATTAGGAGAAACTGTAGTTAATATGGACTTAACTTAACCTCACTGGTCTAAATTATGGAGAAAAGAAGGAATTTGCTATCTGTGCTGATGTAAATTTTGGAGAAGGGGGAAGTTGGTGTCCGTGCTAGTCTTCAGCCTGGTGTGTCCCTTGCGCAGAAGCGGGGTTTGTAGATCCTGGTGAGCTGGTCTCAGTGGGCAGCTCTTTCTTTCTAGGTTGTAGCTGAATAACTGAGTAGTGCGTGGCATTGCCTTTGGAATATTTGTCCAAAAACTGACTGCTCTAGGTCTTCGTAGGAAATCTACCCGGTATTGTCTAATAAATGGTAGCAGTGCCTTCTTCTTAACATTATTCAGAACTAAAGCTCTGAGAAGTCAACCCCAGGCCCCAGGGTGTAGAGGTTTAGAACAGTTTCAGTTGAAAGATGGTATAAAATGCGGTTTTGTAAATGTGTCAGTGATTTCCTAAGGAGGCAGCTGGCCGACTGGTGGAGAGCTCTCATCCGTGAGATACCGAACCTAGTGAGGTCGGTCTTTGGGCAGGAGAGAATGCTCTCCTTTCAGAAACAGCAACTTGAAACACCATTCACCCAGTTGACTGTTGTTTAGTGTAATGAATACCTAGGCCAAGAGGATTACATAGAGAGTGGTGGTGGTGGTTGTTTTTAACAACTATAAGAATACTTCTCAGAATTTTCTATTTTTTTTCTTTGTGTTTGAAATTTAGGTGAAGCTGAATGTGTTCATTAAACTTGGAGTTAACAGGTGTCTGCCCTGGGCCTCATGCTAGGGACTGAGACTATGAAGAGGTCTCAGTTCTGGTATCAGGAACTCAGTCAGGCGGGCAGTGAGGGGAGCAAGTAAGCGTGTGTGGTGCCGGCGATGAGGGGAGCAGGTGAGCGTGTGCGGTGCTGCAGTGGACAGCATGGGAGCCCGGGCACGGAGGGAAGCGGGCCTGGAGTGCGTGCAGGGAAGGGGGTCTGGACCGAGGAGATGAGAAAAGGCATGGTGAGTTTGAGGATGCGAGGTACTCCAGCCGAGGAGCAGGATGGGAGCCAGAGCCGGGTTCCCTGGGGACCCAGCCCAACAGCGCACATCCTGGGGACTGGCGAGGCGAGACTCAGGGGCCCTGCAGTCACTGTGTGTGGGTCTAGGAGAGGGTGCTGGGGCAAGCAGCGTGCAGTGGGGTGGGAGCGGGGGAGCTCAGCATGCTCCCAGGTCTGCACTCTGACGCTGGCACGGTGGGCTGCTGTTGCGGGCTCTTAAGTTAGGACCAGCAGCCTGGTCAGATTTTCATTGTAAGACAGCAAAAACCCAAAAGCTCGTATTTACGTGGAAAATGCCTTGGATGGGGTGAGTCTGAAGATGGTCTAAGCAGGGCTGGGCCCATGTCGGGTAGGGAGCCAGGTCGCAAAGGGCCTGGGGGTGGTCTTGAGTGCCCTGGGGGAGGGGAGGCAGGAGGTTTGGGTGCTGGAGAGACAGCAGCCTGGTGACCCCAAGCTAGGTGAGCATGTTGAGTAGGAAAGCCACCTTCCACCTTTGCTCACTGAGTAGCTAGAATGGAAGAGAAACTGAATTTTTAATAGCAATTAACAATCCAACATACAGAAATGCCTTTGTTCTAGATTATTCCTACTAGCTTTTTGAATTGTCTAATGTAATAATAGTCTTGATAGTTACACAAAACAGTGAATTAAAGACTGGAAAGGACTGTCCTACTCCCAGTTTTCCCTAAATGTTGTGTGGAGCAGTGTGAGAGCCCAGGAGGAAGGACGTTGTAGGAACCATCTAGGTGGTGATCTCTGCCCCCCATTATTGTTTACTGACCGGGTTATGCTGCCATCTCCCCCATCCCAGAGGTTATTGTTCTTGTTGAAGTGAGATCAGAGGATAGGGATCGGACTGTTGGATGCCTGAGGTCCCTCTTAGTGCCTTGGATGTGAGAACTCATCTGTATTCACCAGCTTGAAATTGGCCCCCCGTGGAGCTGGGTCTGTCACCGTGTTAGCCTGGTGATGAGCGTTGGTGGTCCTGCGCATCTATTGATCCTGCTGTCTTTACCCAGATGTCACCAGCACCTGCCCCACTGTCAAGGAGTGGTTTGTGTACTCTGGGAACCCACTGAGGCACCCGGACCTCGTCAGGCCTCTGCAGATGAACATTCCAGGTACAGATGGTTTGGGTTTAAATAAATCACTCATTTGTTCACCATATGATGCAAGTCCAGTAATGGATCCATTGTGGGAACATACTTTTTCAGAACTGCACATACACCAATTTTCGTGTCACCCCTGGGCCCACAAGGAGTGTACCTGTCCATTAACGTTCTGAAACAGCAGAGGAATGGGCCTTTGTTCCACAGGTGGACCCCGGGCCAGTCTGCTTTCTGCTCTGCCTCACTCCGCCTGGGCTCCTGTTCAAGGTCTACATCAGGGGAGAGCAAGGCATGCCAAGAGGAGTACAGCTGTGGGCCCAAGCCCACTGCCGCCTGACCCCAGGGCCCAGTGCCTGGGCTTCGCTCAGTAAATCTCTGCCAAATCAACAGGGTTGGATTCTTGATATTCTGCTTGAGTCAGTTCTCCTTCCTACTACTGAGAGTATGTTTTGATGAACTGGAAAGGGAAGATAAAGGAAAGTTATTTCAGCTGGAAAAATAAGGTTTTTCCTCGTGAGTGTTACCTTAAAACCTATAAGGGGAGGGAACAAAAAACAAAGTTCACCTAAAAATTAGCTGAAGTCCTTTGTTCCTGCGAGTTCTTAGTATCTGAAAAAAGTCAAGAATTTGAGTGGGGGGTAGTGTTGTACATAAAGGCAGGTTAAAGATGAGGAGGGTGGTAAGGGTTTATTTTTAGTGTTCCTTGCCATTGTTTCAGAGGACAAATATTCTTCTAAAACTTTGATATTCCATTTTTGTATGCGTTAAATTCTCTCGTGCCACTGTTGTTCCCATCATGCAAGTCTGCAGTTTACCAAATAAGGGTGTGAGCACTGCAAAATAATTTTCTTAAAAATGGAATTCTATTGGGAGAGAAGGTGAGGAAAGTTACTATAGGGAATATTTCCTTATTCTCTCAGCCAGTGATATATTCAAACCTAAAAAGGTATTTATCAAAAAAAAAATGAAGATGAATTAACATCTGTTTATACAGCAAGAGATATTTTTAAAGGATAGCCAAAATAATTTGTCAGAAATGTTTTATTATATATGTGATTTCCATCTTATTGTATCTTTCCAAAAATAATATGAAGAGGGATTATTATAGTTTTCTTCATGGTTTGAATTAAAGAGACCATTTGGCTCTTCATCATCATATTATGAGTTAGTTTTAAAGGCCACTCCTTGAAATGTTTTCATAAACTCTGGCAGCCATATCATGATCACAGAGACTACTTCTGGGGCTTAAGCAAGCCTCCTCCTTGGCACTACCAGACCCACAAAAGTTCTCTAGGTGTGGCTGCACGTCAGGGCCGGGCTCCAGAAGAGCTTGCATGCAGGGCTTCCATTGCCGGAAAACTCGAGTGGGATCCTGAGCTTTTGGTGCCGATAATTTGCATGAATGACTGTTTGTGCTTATGTTAATAAGGATATGAAAATGACAAGATTTTAATATTTAAATACTTTTCTGTATCCATGAGGAAAAATGCCAGATGGTTTTTCAACTACAGTGGAGACAGACCATCCCATTTGTGTCACGGGCATTTTCCATTGCTCAGGCAGCGTGTGTTGAAAACCGTGGCGTCCTCTGACGCCTGCCGTCCGTACACCTGTCTCAGGAAACCTGACGCGCGCAGGTGCCTCGGCCCGGCTGCGAAAGGCCCTTGTTGCATCATGGGATCCGTTGTTCCCAGGTGAGGCCAGCAGTCTTGTCAGTAGAAGGGACGTCATCTCAGGACACAAGTCTGATTTTCTTGTTCTCCTGAGAGAGTTTCAAGCAGGTTGATTTCATAAATGGTGTGTTTTCAGTGAGTCTCCTGACAGAGTGGCCAGAGTGTTCTTTTTAAAAAAGGCTTTCTTCTAACAGCACATGTGATTTAGCTTGCTTTCTTAAATAGTAGAATGTAGAAACAGAAATCACAGATATTTTATCACAAAATGGAAAGGAAACGCAGGGAAGCAGAAAAATTACAGAGATTACCTAAAAATTAGGAGGGAGAAGGAATTAAAATTGACCGGGCAAGGAGCAGAAAAGTAAACTTCCATTACTGGCATATTTTATCACATCCCTGTCCCCTCTGTGTTCCCATCTGTGGGTGTGCACGCAGCTTATAGACACATTCAGATGTGCACACATGTGAGCTGTAAGCTGCGTTCATGTGTCTCATCTGTGTTACATGGGTACTGTTACATCTCTCACCTCACCAGTATCCTGAGATGTGATGTTTTTGACGATGCAAGAAGGGTGTACCTTAAAATTGAGCTTCCTTTCCCCAGACACAGCGCTTGAAGGGCCCTCGAGTTGTGCACATACGTGCTTATTTACTCTCAGCACACATATAGCCCCTTTCTTCCTCCTTCCTCACTTACTGGTGCTCTGCCTGTTGTGGAGTGAGTCTTGGACCAAACCACAGGCAGGCATTTGGAATAGCGTCTTCTCCCCCAGAGTTGGAGATTCTTCTTCAGACGGGACAGAAGTGGTTTTTCCTCTCCTCAGTGTCAGTTTTTTGTCATCATAAGCATACCCTTGTTTCAGAGACCTAGGACAGCTAATTAGCCATATGAATCAGTACGTAAATGTAGTATTTCTCAGCTTTATGAGGGTGTTTGACTCACCAAAGTCTTGCAGGTCTTCTTAGAAGACTGTCTTACAGCCTGAAGTGAGACGAAGGGATACCTTTCCTGAAAAGAGGGTGCCATGTTTGACCCAGGCCCTCATTTGCTGGGGCTGTTGTGGTAGAGCCTTCTTCTGTGTGCTCTTGACAGTCTTGTGTGCAGATGTGTACAGGTCTAGAAAGTCTTGTCGGATCCTAGCAGTTTCTGTGGGTGGTAAATCCAAGTCCCCAACTGCTGCCCAGGTGCGCGAACGCACACGTGGTGACGAGATGATGATGTGACCGCCCGCCTCCTGACCCCCCCACCTGACATCATGGGTCAAGAGAAATGGCTTCAAAACCTCAATGCCGGTTTTCTTTCCATTTGTAAAAATAATCTGAAGATTTTTCAAATAACTGTGTTACAAATACACATTTGAGTCACAAGCCAACTGTTGAATTTCACTTTTTAGAGCCACATTCACTGTATTTCGAATGCATTAGGTAGGAGTGGCATAACTGTCATTTTGCAAGCACGAAATGAGACATTTCATCCCTGTACACTTAGAGCTTAATATATCGAGATACCAATGCATTCTATTCTGTTTATACCTGAATGAATTTTTTTTTTTTTTCTTATTATAAATAGGCTCTTGAAGTTTACCCAGCCAGAGTGAAGATTCAGTTTGCAAGCGTGGAGTTGTCAGGGTTTTTAATTTTGTTTTCTTTTGGCCAGGAATGCTCTACTAAACAAGAGAATGCTAAGTAAAATATTCATTTAAATCAAACTTATGAACTAAAGCTTTCACAGGTAAACTTGAGACATAACATATATGCACGTTAATTTCGAGAACTCTTCACCAGTCACGTCCTGACAATGGACACAAGCCAGACAGGTGTATGGTTTTTCTTACCCCAGCAGTGTGCAAGGGAAATAATCATCAGATAACTCTAAAACCCAACTATTGAAATATGTACTTCCATACAAAAAGCATACAGAATTGCTATGGTCTTTATTCACTCACTTCTGTTTATTGCTGCAAAAACACAAACAGAAACATTACTTTATTGCTTTGTTACTCATGAGGTGCATACAGCAACCCTCTGCCAGGGGTGGATCCTCCAGGTATCTCTTGAGAAGGTCTTCGAAGTTGTCATTCACAGAAGTGACTTCCTTCCCTGCCCCTCTGCTCCTCCATCTGTGGGCTCCGGTCCCCCAGAAGGATCCTAGGCTTTCCTGTCCATCTGTTCACACAAAATCTTTTACCAAGTTATGTAATTAGGTTTTTGAAGCTGATGTGTTTTAGATGTGATGCTAGTTGGTGACCTAGAGATGAGATTGATTGTTTAGGTCTGTGGCTCTTTGAAACATCTCAGCTGCCCCTGGGGCTCTGGGGGAAGTATAGGGGCCATCCTTTCTGGCACAGTCTTATTTAGCCCCAGGAGCAAGAGGTGTGTGTGTGTGTGTGTGTGTGTGTGTGTGTGTGTGGTGGAGGGAGAAGCTCTGAGCTGATCTGCCTTCCAATTCTGATCAAAATAGGTTTCTTTTCTTTATTTTTAATTTTTCTTAAAGATTTCTTTATTTCACAGACAGAGCACAAGCAGGGGAGGGGGAGAGGGAGATGCAGACTCCCTGCTGAGCAGGGAGCCCAAAGTGGGCCTCGATCCCAGGACCGTGGGATCATGACCTGAGCTGAAGGCAGACGCTTAACCGACTGAGCCACCCAGGCACCCCAAAATAGGTTTCTTTTAAACTGAAATTACTAATGGTGTCCTTGGTGTTAGGTAGGCTCAGCCCTCCTGGGTCATTAACACCACATTTGAAAACCACTTCATCTAGGGGTACCTGGGTGGCTCAGTCGTTAAGTGTCTGCCTTTGGCTCAGGTCATGATCCAAGGGTCCTGGGATCGAGCCCCACATCGGGCTCCCTGCT